ACGAAAGTGTTCCGCGTTCTTGTCCTTTACGTAGATAGCAGTACAGGGAGATGATGTGGCGCCGAATATGACACTCTTCATACGGTACTCGGTCGGTTGGCGATCTCGGTCGTCTCCTCTCCACAGGAAGCGCTGCATGTCTCTATCTTCCTCTCGTATGGTCACTCGAAGAAACATGTCTCTGATGTCGGCTGCTACCGCTACTGGTCGCTGACGGAACTTCATCAGCACGCCGGGCAGGGATTGTATTAAGTCCGGGCCTGGTAGTAGCATGTCGTTCAGGCTGACTCCTTTGGCTTTGGCAGCGGCGTCGTGGACCAATCTGAGCTTCTCTGGCTTCTGTGGATTGATGACGGCGAAATGGGGTAAATACCAAGTCTTCGGGTTCTTATGGGGTGGCGCTATTTCTGCGTAGTCGTTGTCGAACAGTGTTTGTAACTGTTTTTCGTATCTCTTTTTCAGTTCCTCGTCGCGGTCGAGTTTCTTTTCAACTAGTTCCAATCTTCTTAACGCCACGTCGTAGCTGTCAGGTGGACGAACGTGCTCGTTACGCCAAAGCCTCCTGCCGGTAAACGGCGGGTTTTATCTTCTAGTTGTTGCAGTGCTCGTCGCTCGTCGTCGTTGTGGCTGCGTCTCGGTATGACAGCCAATGACTCGAGGCTGAAGTGTTCCCTCATCATCTGCTCCATGGACTCTTCATCATCAGGGGCGACAGCGTGGAGTACTTTGTGGGTGTTGACTCTTTCATTCGATCTCTTAGTGCCGTGTAGAACCCAACCTAGATCGGTGAGTGTTGCGATCGGTTGGTGTCGGTCTCCTTGTCGCACGGCATGTGTGAGTAAAAGATGCCAGTTGTCTTGACCCAGCAGTATCGTAGGTGATCCCTCTTCGTAGATGAGATGCTCTTCTAAGTCGTGCAGGTGGGGGCAAGCTCGTATGACGTTACGTGGGACTGCTTGCGGCGATAGCTTCAAGTTGTTCATGGTGCGGGCCGTTATTGTATGCTCATTCGTGTCGCGCCCGCGCAGAGAAATGCGTACTTGTTGCGATTCGCAGACGTTGATTCGTGTGCCGGCTACACCCTCAATGTAAAAGGGTGCTGGTGTACCCGCTGCGCCGATCCTTCTTGCTAGCGCCGCCTCAATCAGGCTGCACGTTGACCCGTCGTCCAGTAGTGCGAGTGCGTTGCACGTACCCTTGGGGCCCCTCACTTGCACAGGGAGTACCTTCAGTAGCGCGGTGGTGTTGCTTCTGTCTTTTGCTGATGCCACAACAAATGATGCAGGAGCTTCTTTCTTCTCCTTTGATGAGGGTGGAGTGCCATGCAGCAGTGAATGATGCATGTACTCGCAACCGTCGATGCCGCACCTCTTGTTTTTACACGTATGGCGAAATTTGCGTGTCCGTAAACAGCGGAAACATAGCCTATGTTTGCGTGCTATGTCCCACCTGGCGGCTACATCTGCTGTCTTCATTTCGTCGCATTGCGCCGCATGATGACCCGTCTTGTCGCAAATAGGACACGTAGTAACTTGTTCGTGCGCGGCTGGCTTCGCTATTTGAGTGTGGTAGCTCTTCATGGGTCTCCTGCCTGCTGGCTCCCGCCGGTCTTCCACAGGTGTGTTCTCGACGGGCGCGTAGCTCCCACAACGTGCAGCTGTGCGTTGCATGAACTCGGTCAGGGTTACTAGGTCAGGTTGGTATTCTGGCTGTTCCGCAGCAAAGTCATAGTATCGATAGCGCAATGCTGAAGGCAGCTTCTCAACCACGGCGCGCACTATCTCGGCGTTGTGTAGATAATGCGGTCTGTTTAGCGCCTTCAATGTGGCCGTGACGTTGATGATCTTCGATGCGAAGTTGCAGATGTCTCTCGGATGTTCGCCCAGACGTGGAAGGGTGCGTAGCTTACTCAGTTCGGCCAGTGCGAGCGCGTCCGAACGACCGAACCTTGACGTCAGTAAGCTCATTACTTCGTTGGAGGACGTGGCTCCGACGAATAAACATTGAGCTGCTTCCCTAGCGGTGCCTTTCAAGCTCCTCCGGAGCCTCGCCAGGTTCTCTTGTTCTGTAAGCAGTCCTGCAGATTCTTCATAGGCTGTCTTGAACGGCAGCCAGTCGCTTGATGAACCGTTGAATATGGGTAATTCTTGAAGTCTTGCAGTAGTGGGTTGAATCGCTCGTGCCGCAGTAGTGATCGCCGTTGCTAACTTTTCGTAACATATGTCGCTCGGCGGCTTATGTTCCAGGTGGCCGTCGTTGTTACGATAGTATTGCGGCTGTTGTCTCTCACTTGTGTGCGTGACTTATGTAGAGGGGGGCGCTCCCCCCGCGTAATTGGTGGGGGGGCACCCGGTCCCAGCTGTCGCAGGTGCCGCGTACGTGGAGATTTTTTCCTGTCGAATGACGTCGCGCGTCGGCGGCGGCGCCTGTGATTCGGCAGGTCTTCCCTTCAATATATCTTCCTTCGTACGTGTGGCGGCAGTGTAGTCTTCCTGCTCTTCTCTTCTCAACCCAATAGTGCTTGTGCGAATCCACTCCGATGTGCGTTCTTCGCGGATCGTGGCTTCCTCCGGTTCGTCTTCGTCCGATTCCTCTTGCATTGCCGCGATCTTTGCAGATATTAAATCGATTTTCAGCTTCAATAATTCTTGTTGCGCTTCCGCTAGCTGCCTACGACGACTGTTCGAAGAACCGGATCGAAAAGATCGAACAGATTTAGGAGAGTATATTCTCCGTGGTGCTTCACTTGTAGTGGCGCCGGCTTCGGGTCTCTCTACTAGTTGGGAGACTGGCGAGGTGGCAGTCGGCGCGGCGTCGATTTGTCTGATCGTTGCGTCGGTTTCCACAGTTGCACCGGTTGTACGTGTGGCGTACGTGGAGCGCGTGTGTTCTGAAGTCGTAGCAGTCTTTTCGGTCCCCGTGATCGTGTCGGTGCCCGTCGAACAGGTTGGAGCAGTGGACGAGGATTCTTGGGTATTCACGGGGTACGATTTTGCGCTTCTGGTAACTGGCATTGTTCTTTCTTGATGTAATCCGGCTGCTGAAGGACCAGAAAATGTGGGGGCGGATTATGAGAAAAACGCCTGGTTGTAAATTGAGCTTCTTGATCTTGGTCTTGCTTGGATCGCGGTGAGATTTGGAACGTCTTCGGATTCTTTCGCAGTCAGTTTTGGAATGTCGTTCCGCTCCCAACGCTCCGCCTTTTATATCATCGCTGGCCCGCCGTGCCGCTCGCATTCTATTCAAGTGTGCGAGCGGGACGGCACCAATGCAGGAGCGGGACGGGAGAACCCTACAGACTCCAAGCAAAACCCCTCTCTCCCTCTCGTTTATTTACCAAAATCTTACACGAAATTAACAATAATAAATTACAACATTAAATCACAATATTATAAATCATATGGGCGCGAACACGTTTTCGTCCTGAACATTATTATTTTAGAAAGGTATGTACATGGGGCGGCGGAAATAAAGTGGCCTACACTCATAAAAAATATAAATCCGGCTCTGGTTCGAATCCAGCCGGATCAAAGGAATTTTCTTTAAGTATTCGGTATTTGTATTAATAATTTTATCTACACACATATCATAAACTCTCTATGATGTGTTCAAAAACCGCAAATTACGACCAGCACAAAGGTAAACTGTTTTGTTAGAACAAATTTCTTATCTGTGAAAATGTTATTAATGCTTCCTATTCATAGACTTATCGAATTCGATGTTATTATTACAATCAAATTTCGAACATCTCTGAAAAACAAAACAATTTGATTTGACCTCAATTCTAATATCAGTCGAGATGAAGTTTTATTCGAAATGAAATGTCAATAGCAAACAATTTTGACAATTTCACATGTTACTTGATATCGAACGATATGATAGTTGGCACCACAGACATAGGTATGTCTGTGGTTAGGACCGATTCTAGTTTGTCTATGAATTAAAAATAAAAACTACGGTTGTGTAACATGCGTGAGAAAAGTTTTTATTTGCCGCCATTTCGCCAGACCTAACATGCGGTTCCTGAACATATCACAGAGAACTTATAATATGCGTGTAGATAAAGCAGTGTATGTAACTGTACATAATTAGGCATTAAAACACTCGTGAGATGTTTTTATGATCCACCATTGTATTTTAATGCCTTTCATTATGTAACAGTCACATAAACTACTAATATTTTATATTGTATCGCTTTACGCTTTAACTACGTTTTAGCCATTCAATAATAAAGTACCTGTTAGATAAGTATGGCAATGAAGAGCAACAGGCGTTGTACCCGAGTGAAGTGCGCGAGCGCGCTTTAGTTGACCAAGCTATGTTCTTCGACACCGGAGTTGCATTCATACGAGTTAAAAATGTTGCCGTAAGTACACAAGAGTAAATAATAACATCACAGCCTTAGAATAATAACGCGTAGAATGATAGATTCATATCAAACGAACTGTCACAAGTGAGGCAAAAATCAAATTCATGTAGGCTAGTTTTCGTAGTAGGTTAATTTTCGGTTTTAGTGAATATTTATATAAAAATACAAGTTGAAACGCGTTACTTCCTTGTGGAATGTGATGTTAGTATCTATTTTATGTTTGACGTATTTTTACACTCATTTACCGCACATTTCGTCATTTTTAGCTAAAATTCTGGAGCTGTTCGCGGTGCAAGTTGACCTTGAGCACTGAAGCCCGCCCGCTCGTGTAGGCCCTTTGGGAGCGCTTCAATTTGCCTCACTTAGTGTGTGCGGGCTAGGTTTCTATGCGTTATTATTCTAAGATCACAGCCTTATTCGTATGCATAAAAAACAATTCTTATCCTTGTTAACGGTTATTTTCGGACTTGTGTTCAATACCTAATGTTTCCGTAGCAATTTTGATTTCTTATCATTTCATTTTTTCATAACCAGTGATTAGAATTGAGTCAGTTAATTTAGCGAAACTAACGAATAACGAGGACATACCCTTCTACAAATTCCGGGACCTTTCAGAAATGATATGCGTATTATTTATTGAACATTGTAAATTGGCGACAAATTATTATTTTCTATTAAGTATTTGTTTCAAGAAATAATTTTGTTAATTTAAAAAATACAATAGTAAATGAAACTATTTTTCCTGATTTAAATCGCGTATATTTGTTTTTTCAAACAAACCAACGTTTCGGGCCCTTTACAGGTCCCATGGTCACGGTTGACTGTTCTGATTGACTGATATCTTAGTGCTAAATAAATATATAATAATTATTTTTTTTAATTTATACTTCATTTCTTCCCATATTCTGTCTGTCGGTCTGGGTAAACTGGTAATTCTCTGCAATTTTTTTACCACTACACTTACTTAATTTATAAAACCATATTTTTGCTGTTGCAGCTACCAATAATATTTGACGGTGCAAAGGAGGTGACATCTAAACTGGTGGAGAGCATTGAGGATGTGTACGACATCGTGGAAGACTTTCTTTCTCGTCACCAATACATTGCTCTTGATCGGTACACTATTGCAGATTTGAGCGTTGGCACTACCATTGCAGCACTGAATGGGACACATAAAATTGAAACTAAGAGGTATTCCACATGTTTCTTCTTATTTAAGAACTATTCTTTTGTCGGTGGAGTAATCGGTAACCATCTCTGTTCAGCGCACTAACTTCTATTTCCTGATACGACAGGACATTTTACTTTCTCCCTTATCTAAAATAACTTCATCTCGGTCTTCCTTTGCCTCTCTTTCCCTTCTATAATGCTTCCTTTCTATAATGCTTCTCTTCTATAAAATGCTCCTAAAAAAAGTGTCCTGACGTATCAGGTACCCAAACATCTTTCAAACATTAGAGATCAAGACTACCTCCATGAGCTAAACGGGTTACTACCGCGGATTTTTGTCATCCAAGTACGCAGAAGTTGTATAATAACCTTTATTATAAAATTTTTGTTTCACTATAGTTTTAAAACTCGTGAATGGCAAATTTTGTATATCAACCGGAATCTTGTTATAGAAGCATATACATTGCCCCTTAAATTAATTTGTCACTTTGTGAAGACGACTATCATCTAGTTTATTTTTATTCCTCGTATTAATGTTATGTCTGTCACTATTTTTCATAAATAGATTACTATTCCTCTTAACATAAATTACATTTTCATAGATGTACTGTACGCTAGTGTAAGAATACTTAAACTTTAGATAGATAGATAGATAGATAAAACGTTTATTGTCTTGCATCACACACACAACAATATAATAGAGTAAATTGATTAAGAGACACAGAAATCAAAATTAAAACGAAAAAAAAGCATAAAAACATAATACTAACCTAATTATCAACGGCTGTGTGTGTGTGTGCTAAAGCAAGCCAAATTGGTCGTGGCTCAGTGCAAAATTTGCTCACGAGCAAGGCACTGATTTTCAGCCACCACCTTCGACGGTAGCGCGTTGCGGTGCATCAAAAACAAAAACATTGTGAGGTGAATGTAGCGTGCATATGTTAGTATCACGTGAGAATTATGTGCATTATAAAATATTTAAAAAAAAATAGTAACTGTAAAAAGTAAAAAAATAAAAATTTGAAAAAATATTAATACAAATTCATATTTGGTATAATTAAAATAAAATAATAATAATAATCAGTACTTAATATCGATGAAAGCCATTACATTAAACTTATCTCTCAAAGATTCTCTGGGACCTAGATTGTAAATTGCCCTAACCGCACGTTTCTGCAGGACCAAGATTCTATTAATATCAGCGGCATTACCCCAAAGCAAAATGCCGTATGTCATTAGACTGTGAAAATAGCTGAAGTAAACCAATCTAGCGGTTTGGACGTCTGAAATACAGAATATTTTTACAATAAATACAGAATATTTTTGGAATATACGAAGACGTACATATAGATCAGTTGTTGGCGCTGTCTATATTTCAATGCAAACGAGAGTTTATACTTATAAGTGATGTATCACTGATGAGTTACCAGGAAAGTATGGCCCTTATTTCGTCTCTATTTCTGGTTATATACTCGATAATATCGCACTACCGTACAATGCAATACTCTAAATTAGTCCATGTACGCCTATAACAGTCGTACCCTTTTTAAAATCCACCTGGCCCTATACTCTCGTTCTCCGTCTCATACATCCGTCCGAAACCATTACTGTCAATTAAGTGACACTCAACTAAATTGGACATAATTATGCAAACAAGAACTAATCCACACCTTGAGTAAAATTGAGTTATGTATTCAGGTAGAACAGCAGACGTGTCCTTTACCTACTGACAAAAGATCCTGGCAATATACCAAGCCAAAACGGAGAAAATAAAAGTCCTTCAGGGTACCAACCCTAAATAAGTAACTTTTTATTAGGTAAAAAGAACCATGCTGCTTAAATTCATATAACGTATTTTTTTAAATATGCTAAATGGATCTATGTCACATGTACTGAAGTAGGTACTGTAGATCTTTAGCGTTTTCATTACGAAAACTAGAACATGGTTCTCGTTTACTAAATAAAAAGATACGTAATGTTTTCTATTTATTGCTATATAATATAATAGTTTCTCTATATCATTCTCAATGCTACACATAACTCACGTTGTTTGTCTCTAATAACTTACCCATTTATTTCTTCACACTGTTTTTACAAAAATCTAATTATCTCAATAGTGACATTTTGTGGGTTAGTTCTACTTTGCATAACTATGTCCAATTAAAAGATGCGTGATGCGAATGAAGCTTCATACTTGACTTTGCAATTGGTCGAGTATTACTTATTTGACATGGTTTCGGTCAGATATATCCATGATGTATCGGACTGAGGACGAGAGTAAACCCCCTGTTTACATAATGAAAAACTCGTGCCATCGAACATATTTATAATCGATGACTAGTCCCATCGCAAAGGAAATTTGAATTATTGTGCATCTCTGTCTGTCTTTATTAATACGAAACAGAGAGAGTAATTTCATTTAAAGTTCAGATCAGTTAAATTAGTCGCTAATAATTTGCCAGCTCCAAACTAAAATGCAGTCTACTGTTATTTTCTTAATAAATAAATAAAAATCTTTTATTTTCAGACACCATAGGTCCATAGTTTGTTAGTAAGCAACCTTATACTATATAAGTAACAAATGACTGTATGGTGATAGTTTAATAATAGTTTAACTATTTTCGGATACAGATGTAAATAAACTTTGCATTTACGCGAATAACACCAATATTTGTGTATTGCATGCAGGCAGTAAATAAGTATATAGAATAGACAAATTTCTCAAAACAAAAATACTACGCGTAAGGACTTTGAACATTTTATCTAACCCTCTATCCGCCATTTTGATATGTTTTTCAAAATGGCAACCATGCGTTTATCCTAAATAAATCGTTAACTGACATCAATATTAAATAAGAAATAATAGGTATGAAGATCTCAGCGTCAGGTTTCCAAGATAAGTTATCAATGTTGTAGAGTATAAATCGAATAAGTACCTACATGTTGGGAGAATTAAATCTGTGAAGACAACGATGTCCTACTAGTATGAAGAAGCGTTAAATATAGGTACTTTTACCAACACGTCATTGAAGTAAATAAAATTATACTATAAATATGGGGTGGGAACTTGTAGCATATAGGAAATGTGGGAATAACGTTTATTCCATTTATTCTGACGTATCTACATCTATTCCTACAGATATTCCCGCACGACGGCATGGCTTGACAAACTAAACGAAGATGCCTACTTCAGGGATATCGCTGTTTCCGGTGCAGAGATTCTCAAAGACACCCTTATTACTATGTTAAAGAAAAACAATGATCAATGAATGCTTGATTTAATATATGAAAAAATGAGTTGAAAGATCTTGTACTTTAAACGTATCCTTTCAGAACTTGTTAATATTTTTACCCTCAAAATTATATCATTATGTTTTAACTGATTTATTTCTTTTCCCTTTGCCTTGTTCTCTCTGCAGTGCAAATAGTGTGCTTGTAGTTCAGAAGATTACTACATATAGACTGATAAATTGGCATTAGACCTTAATGTATCAATAAAATCACCGAGTCCGATGTGTGTAAATGTTGCAAATTGAACATTAAATTTGCATTACGTAAAAAACTTAGACATTATTAACCTTAGACATTCCGTAAAAAACAATCTTCCTTCCGATGCAGTTGGGTAAAAAACGGGTGTTCCCTTTAATATGAAACTGAGAACGCGAACGTGCTTACACAAAGCTCCATAGTTTTATTTTAAAAGAACGCCATCTAGAGTAGATCAAATGAAACACTATGAACGTCAGCGTCGCCTTGGTTCCATTTACTCTTGCACTCACGGTGTGGATTCTCAAAGAGAATAAGAGGGGAGATAACATTAACTTATTTTACTAGATGTCGCTACTGTGCATTTAATTCCTTTTTAAAGCGACATCTACGGTTAAGTTATGAAAACTTTGTAAGTTGCGTGACGCTGTCTGACATCCAAAGGCCTTGCTTTGCAACTTTCGTCTTTAACGCAATGGCGAACGGGTGTATTATCTGAGATGAAATTTTAAAAACGGCTGGTCGGGCAAGGAAGTCCGTTGCCTGCCTCCCTCTCGCTCGCTTCAAACGGCAGAAACGTGTACGGCGAAGTGCGGTCGACTCGTCGATGCGCTGCTGTTCTGCCGCGCTTGTCAAATTATAACAGTTTTCTCGAAACGCGTGTGTAAATAAACAAATTATTACTTTTCATTTGCAAAATAATGATGAAGTGATATAAATGTTCGTTGAATTCGTGCCTTATTCAAGTGGAGCGTTTGAATGAAACCGTAACCGCTTCTCGCAATGACAAGGGAGAGCACTCTGTTACCTTTTGAGAAACCGGAGGCATTAAAATGTTTCATGTGGCCTAATTGATGCCTCTTTCTACGTAAATAAGTGTATTATTTGCATGTAAGACTAGTGTAAATCGTTTTAGTGACACTGAAGTAAATCGTCTTTTCGTTTTCGTCGTTAGTCGTCTACACGTTGAAAAAATGAGTGTTTTAAGTGGTTTGAGCAGGGCTGACTTCAAGACAGCGAGCGATGGACTCCTGGAGCTGTCCGAGGAGCGACTCCGGAGCATCATGCGTTCCGAGCCCATCACCGACGTCTACCACGTCGAGCAGACACCCTTTGCAAGGTCAGTTTTAATTTTGTGTGTAAATCTGTATTTGAACTTGGAACAAGGTTTTTTACCATGCCTAGGAGTAGAAACTGGAACATTCTTTAGAGCAAGCAAAAAAAACATTGCTTTGAAACCCTTTGTGTATGCACCAGCATGAAATCAAGGCCAAATTTAACGCAGTTGAAGCAACCACCTGTTTGCTTGTTAAGACGCGTAAAACTATTCATAATTTCAACATACTGGAATTATAATTCCATACAGGAAGATGTGAAATTTTTAACGACGGTTTTGTTCCAAATTTCAATTTTTGTTCCTTATAAAAAATGTTAGCACCTATAAAATTGTATACACATCGTTAATACATTTTTTTTCGCATTAAATTGGACTATTGGAAGGCGATGTAAAAATGCTATCTTGTTGTTTAACTTATCTTGCAGATAAAGATGAGTGATTAAGTGTTGGGTGAACATAGATAATAATAGATAACACCTATTTTGCTCAAATTGCACCGGCCTTGAACAATAGTTTTATATATTATCAAATTGCGTTGTTTTATGCTTATAGTATATACTTAATATATTACAAAGTAAATGTTTCGAGTTTTATTTCAAGGTTATTAACTTATTTAATGTAAAATTTCATGCCTAGAGAATCACCTTGTCATCTGAAATGGAAAAATTTCTCACACGCAATGTGAATTAAAAAATTCTACTTAAAGCAAAGGACTGGTATACTACTATATACTTAATTACCCATACATGATGCATGGCTGTGGTGATTGAAATTCGTTTGTTTTTTCTAATTTTCCTTTGTAATCAATAATATTATTGATAAAGCAGTAATGAAATAAAATTGTTTTTACTTATAATGTTGGCGTGATCCCAAATAAACAAAATAAGTTAAGCTTTATATCTTCTGCATTTGGGTACGTATAATGAGACTAAATTATTTTATGGAAATGGAAAACTGATTATGTACATCTATGGATAAAATAGTCCAGAACATATGAATTTTTTTGTGGTCAATGTCATTCATTTCTTTATAATTAAATTTACATATATGTATAAAAGCATTTAATTTGAAAATCATTCTTACGTGGTAATTATAATAATTTTATAATTAGATTTATAAAATTATGAAAGTGATTTCATACAGATGGATACCTCTCACATAAGTTATTGTTAGTTGTACCATTTCTTGTTTTTTCTCTTAAATATTTATCCTTTTTTATGTATATTTATAGGTTCCATATTTAAAAGTAAAGAAATAACTGTTATGTTTACTTTTAAACAAGGAACTTTCATAAAAGAAATGGTATTTTGATTTACAACAAGTGGGAGGTATTGATTAATTTATTAATTAATTTTACTTATTAATAATATACAACTGATAATTTTAAATTATACACCTGTATGTATTTTTTCACCTTTAAAAAAGTAATTTTTCTAGCGGTAAATGATATTAAAGTTTTTTATTTTTAATACACAAGGCTGAAAGGGTGTTCCTAGATGCACTTTGAATCAAAGCTAAGTTTTCGTAATTTTTACATATTCACTTACAATAATTTGTACTCTATTGTGGAATAAAAAAACACCAGTTAAAAAATAATAATAAATTTTACAGTTGTCTAGTTTAGAAAAAAGTCAATTTAATTAATTTATATATGGCTAAAAAGCAATCAGTTTAAAAATGTAACAAATAATTAAGAAAGTCAAAACGTTATATATACATAAACTAAAAATAAAAACTGTAAACCACAAAATCCCGTCATTATATTCTCTGGAAAAAAAAACTCTTTTTTATTTTCTCTGTAGGTACACACAAGCATTTGAATTTTTAAGTTCAATTAATATAAGGACCTACAGTTTCTATTCAAGTTTTTCGCCGTGTTTTCTATAACAGTAGAGCTATTAAAATTATAGATATTATACACAACGATATTGCAAGAACAATACTTCTAATAACTTATTTTAGTTTCTATAAAATTATTTACTCTTTATTGCATATACGAGAGAAAAATACTGAAACTTACAAAAGATAGGGTGCCACAAATGGCTTTAAAGTCATGTAACAGTTTGGAGGAAGCTCTTAACTAACATTAAGGCACCCTATCTTTTTTTTTTGAGGTGACAGGCTACTGCCAGACTGACATTATTCATTATATTTGATTATTTTATATATGTACCTACTATTATATATTGACAACGAATTGTTATAAGCTATTGTACTGTATAAATGATAAAGGGAAATGCATAAAATAATCTTCAAATGGAACAACAATTAATTATATGTTACAACGATCATAAGTGCAGTTATTGCGTTGACAGTTGAGTTGGATCTTTCCGTGCGCCCGCGCCGCTGCGCAGTCGCCTGATGACGTGCAAGGTCATTCGTTGTAACTTTGACGTTTACGGAACGACGCTGTAGTCGAATACTAACAAAAATAAATATCTAAGTTACTTATTCACTTTCATTACCTGCACAATTTTATACGAACATATTATGTAAGTTCATAAGTATGTACTTATTAGTACTCGGGAGGGGCAGCGCCTTGCTAGTTCTGGAATTTGGCAAATCGGATTGGCATGCGTACCTAAAAGTACCAATAGAAAAATTCACTAAAACGTGGCTGCATGGTTTTAAACTTACTCCTTTTCCTTTTACAACAATTATTTTACAAAATTGTAGTAGCAGTACAGGTTACAATACAAAATCGATACCCTGTGGTTCAACAAAAACTCGTTACAATGTTATGTACATGTTTTAAATAACTTGCATTGCACTATTACTATAATGTAAACCATACAGTTTCCCTTTAAAACGTTTATGGTATTGATTTAATTACTTATTTCGAAGAAAAACAAGACATTTTTATCCATTTGACCATTACATGACACAATTCAGAAGTGACACACAATTGAAGGAAAACAAACAAAAATAAATTATGGATCTATGTATATATATATATTAACTAATATTAAGGCACCCTTGTACAGAAATATAAAATAAATAATAAAGATTTTGAAATGTAACAAGTGCCTGTAATAATAGTTCCTTTCCCCTAAATTGCCTACAATTTCATAATAAATAGTCGCTAAAAAATATTTAATGAAGCTCAAAATGGGTTAAAATACTTATACACAAAAATAAGCCAATCCAAATTTAAGTACAGTAATTAATTTAATTTAAGATCCAACTGTCAATGCAATAACTGCACTTATGATCGTTGTAACATATAATTAATTCTTGTTCCATTTGAAGATTATTTTATGCATTTCCCTTACAATATTTAGAAAGTACATACATAAAAAAAGTATTTTAGTAAATCAAATTGTAAAAAGTAAGTAATCTAAATTTTTTTTTGTTAATGCTCATTTTTTCTTTTGTTTTGAGTCCAACTTGAAAGTATTAAAGTTAATTTATAGAAAACAAAAATTTATTGCGTAGCTCAGAACAGATTAAAATATCCATTGATTTAATTTATTTTATATTTCACAGAAATAGGATCAATCATTAAAAAAGAAGACTGCTTAGATTTTTTGCCTGCTGCTTTAGCAAATTTAAAATGATCATTTAGATACATACCAAAACTAAGTACTACTAGCACTATTATATCCCAGCCCTGTTGCCTATATGACTAGAGTCAGCCCTATAATATCTCCAATTTAACAGTCTTCTATAGACATTAGCTAAATATCATAGAAAGTAGAGCAGTTCAATTCTAGCTCCCGTTGCGTAAACATGTGCTAATTAAAATTCTATTTCATATATTTTTAATTCTAAATATTTCCAGTTTTTCCGGCAATATATCATTTTCGGGAAAATTGTGTTTTTTTAAACGACTTCCTCGAAGCCCCGTATAACAGTATGTATTATTTGTCCAGCAGCTTTTTATTTATTACTTCCCACTGCTGGGCACGGCTCTGCTCTAAGGAGGGTGTTTCATAGTTCGCTATGCTGGCTAATGCGGGTTTTGGAGAATTCACATGTTTTCCTAGGGTAAATAATAATAATAATCATGCGCTGAGGTATTCCTATTAAATATCCACAAATCAGTACTTTCAATGAACACTACGCCAACTAAATTTTTGGAATCTGTTCTGTTTTTATTTTGTTTTTTTATTTTTTTCACAAAATTCGTTTGTTTTTTTAATTTTGTTTTTGGTATCTTTGTTTTTTTTTCGAATTTTGTTTTTGGTATCTTTGCTTTTTTTTCCAATTTTATTTTTTACTTCTTGTTTTCGAATTTTGTTCTTTGTTTTTTAAATTAAATTCGAAGAGCATAATATTAGTAAGTAAATATGACTGTTTACAAAAATAACAGAAAATTGTAATATCATTTTGGATTCAATTTTTCCTAAATTTAAAAAAAATAAAATAAATGTTTTATATTGGATTATTTCCTCAATTTGTTCTAGTCTGGTTGTTCTGGGTAGCCTTGAAGTTATAAAGTGTGTTTTTTAACATACAAAATGAATATCATCTACACGCCTTTTTACGAGGTAGACGAAACCACAACCTACAACTAAATTAACATTTTTTATTATGTATAATATAAAAAAAACATGTTACATTACAAGTTGTTCTAAATATGCGTTTTTTCGAACTGTAGCTTTCACGAACTATTGTCATTTGTATATATCACTCAATTTTACTATGATTTTTATATTTTTTTGAGGTGGCGCCTAATATTCAGGACCAGAACAACTGCTTTTCCAATAAATATAATCGTTTATCGTATAAACAAAGTACGTACATGTGTTAGACGTCTAGTGCACGCATTCTAGTTAAAGTTGCTATCAAATTAGGCGACGACATCCAACCAGCGATGTATTAAACTATAAGGTACAACATTGAGACGTTTCACGCTCTTGTAGTATACCATTTTAAATGCAAACCTTTTTAACATTGTTTGTATCTTTTAAATCTTAGCGATTTGTTAATACAATTTGTAATTTGCAATTTTTAAAATTAAGTCCTCTCTAAGATTGGATCTAGGGCAGTTTTGTTAGAAG